TGGCGCAAACGTGTGAACCCACAAAAATGATTTGCCACCTGAGCTAACTATGGTGGCATCCCACCGACACACATGCAGCCAGCAATACTGCAAATGACTCAGGTCGCACGTGAAAAAACTTAAGCAACAACACGCCTACACATCATGGCCTACAACAGCCCAAGCCGATTTTTCAAAATAGCCTCTAGTGTCTCACACCACGGATTGTCTTTCGACAGTTCCTCATAGTTAATCTCACCAACTTCCAAGCCTGCATCAACATCCAGTGCCTAGGCTGAGAAGGCATGGGCACTCGACAGGTGATGTAAAAACACAATATAACCCAGAGTTGGTGCTGATCATGCAAGAAGTAATGTTATATATTTGCTTGATTCATATCTTTGATTTGTATGCTATGCATGATAATAGTTTGAAACTATACATGGTACAGCCCCGCATTGTGCACCCAAGTTACAAAGAGCTCTGCACACTTCAATGCCAGGGCCAACGACGACATGTAGGTGATGTCTTCAACATCATTGAACGTAAAGTGTGCTATGTCCTTCTTGTTTGATTTTGAAGTAACACCACATTTCGGCCCCTGCCAGTAGATGTTCAACCTGCACTCAGTCAAAGCCTTGCCACATTGTAAGCGGGATTTCATTTCATTTTTGATTTCATCTGTTGCTGCAGTCTCATCCCTGTCTTGGAAAAGTTTGTAGTACTTCTTGATTTTTTTCATAAACTCAGTGCTTGCCTGGGCTGCCTGTGGTGCGGTTCTCTTTTTTTTCTTCTTGTCAGTGCTAGTGCTAGTGGACACATCGGGTTCCTGTGTTTCTGTCTCCTCTGCCTGACCTTCTGCCTTCTTACGTTTCTTGGATGAAGAAGTCGATGACAATGCTCGCTCAGTCTCAACTTCCTTCCTTTGTTTTTTCTTTGCATTTCTCTTGGGGGCTGCTGGTGCTTTCTTCTTTGGCTTCTTGGTCTCTGCGTTGCTCTCTGCAAGTTCTTCTTCAGTTTTTAATCTTTTTGTTGCTGGCTTGCTGCTCTCTGGCTTGCTGCTCTCTGGCTTGCTGCTCTCAGGCTTGCTCTTCTCAACCTTTGAAGTCTTTGGCGTTCCTTCGTTTTGGCCAGCAAGGTTGTGCAATGACTGCTTGCCATCCTGCCATGCATAGCTGTCCCAGTAGTAGCCCGGGGTCCCCCACCCATCCTGTGCCCATTCCTCCCCTTCATAGCCCCAGCCTTCCTGCCATGTCTCATCCCACCATGTGTTCTCATCCCAGTCTGCTGACTGGCCAGCCTTGTTTTTTGAAACATTTCTTCCTCGACCCCGACCTCGACCTCCATTTTCAGTGCCTCTCCCGGCCCCTTCACCTCTACCATTCCTTCCACGTCCTCTTCCTCTTGCTCTTCCCCGTCCCCTCTCTCTCGGAGCCTTCTCTGGCTTGAGATTGAACTGGTCGTTTCTTGTAACATACTCCTCAGGTGTATCCTTTTCTACCTCTGCCTCGCATCAACAAGGAAATCGAGTTTTATATATCAAAGGAAAGTAATGTTGCAAGAATCAGAATCCAATAAGTCAAAACATTGCAAGCGACACCCCTTTCCCATACTTCCCCACCTTAGCAGCAGGCTTGGAGGACTTGGGTTTTCTCTGAGTGTCCTGGGCTGGTTGGTCAGGTTCGCTTTTTTTTGTGATAGGCTGCAGTTCGCAGGAGGTTTCACAGCCCATCTCGATTGTTTCTCCCTTTGCCATTCGTCGCTTCTGAAAAGACTCTCGCTTAGCATCAGCTGGGACATCAGGTGAAAAAGTTGCCCAGGTTTCCGGTGGAACGGGTAAGGCTTGAAGATCAGTAGGGAGAGTCTCTTGGAAGTCGGTGGCTGCAGTAGGTGGTTTGTTACCGCCAGATCCTCCCGATGCATTGGTTGAACAACAGGATACAATATGGTGTTATGATTATCAGTGCATTATATGGATACATAAAGAAGACAATCTCGATCTGCAGTGTTGTGGAACCAACGGCATTACTTCAGCAAATTCAAACCATTTGTTATATATGTGTTTGATTCACTAAAACCACATATATATCATTACATGTTGATCAGTACAAACAGGCAGAGTGTAGAAAATATCGCATAAGAGTCGCAACACAAAATTGCATCTATACCCTGTCCTTGGCCCCCTGACACTGGAGGAGAAAGGCTTGATGAGCCCTTGGCTTTCAGCTCATTCAACCTGCAAAGGGCAGCAAACATAGATAGACCAGCGCAAGACCATCAGAACAATAGTTTCCCACTTCCATATCTTAATCCTGAATTAGTCATATCCTCCATGGTTAACCTATGAAGATCGCACATGAGCACATGCAGCAAATATAGATTTACAATTAACATGCGTGTTGTAGGACGAGAACCCCGCCCAAGCCCACCCACTCACCTTTCGAGCCGCGCAGCAATCTCTTGCTTTCTCTTGAGCAAGTCCAGTTTCCTTCCTGAACATACATGTGTATGGTAGCCGTCGCAGATATATAAGACCCCAGAGCTGACATCCCCAACCCTTGATCAGCAACACTATGCTTTGCATCATTGGACATACAACTCTTGCTCAAACAAACATCGGTGTTGAAGTTCTAATTGCAAACCAGTTTCTCTCTGTTTCTGAAACCGGGGATGTGGTATCAGCAGGGGTGTTGCCAGTACTACCTTCAACTGGCGGGGTCTCTGATGGCGAAGTCTTTGCTGGGAGGGCTGGGGCAGCTCGTTCATCCTTCTTGACAGGTGGATTGGTCAGCTGTTGCATTTTAGGTTCCTTTGTTTCCTTTGCATTTGTTTCTACCTTCTATTGCAAGACCTGTTCATCTGGGATCACCGGGTCTGTCTCTTTCGGTTCTTCTTCTTCACCTCCTTCTCCCCTCCCATCCTCCTGTCCATAGGCATCCTCATCGTCAGAAGTTTCATCGGCAGCCTAAGCTTCTCTCAGAAGTAAAGGCAACAAGACGATACTTGTCAGGTGATATACTTTATAGTCCAGGAAAACGTAATCTTATATATGATGAAACCATCGCTCCTGCCAATTATATATCAGATCCTATGCCATCAGGCCACTATAGTAACTCAAGGCTTTGGTTTGTACTTGAAAGCCAAGACGCTTGTTTTTTCCTTCTTGCATTCACTTTGTCAACTTCGGCCTGTGCAAGACAAGAATATATATACTGAGAACTGTAGACTGGACAGGGGTCTTACAAATCAACACAGAACTATATATGCGTGTGTAGGTAAAAAGTCTTTTGAAACAGCATTTGAAAAAACACAACAAACTTTGAGCAACACATTCTTGGCACCCCTGTGGAAAAAACCATGTGCCATAGTTGAGAGACCAGACCTAGCCTGGAGCATGGGGTCCAGGGTCAAGCAAATCTCTTGGAAGTTGGGATCCTTACATATCGTGGAAAACAGTACATCGATGATTTTCCATGTTTTGGCAACAGGCATCAATTTAATGCAGTCACTACTCATCACCTGTCTTCGCTATACATGCATGTATAATATGTATATATGTGTTCAGGCATATTTCGGATGTTTGCATGTGTCCATGCATGTGGTAAACAAGTCCAGGTCTGAAAAACACGAAGTCAAAACTTGGGATTTCCATTGAGTTATTTTCCATACTATGTTTGACCCTTGAATCCAGCCAAGTAACCGTAGAGACTTCCTTCCTGCGAACTTTGGCCTTGACGAAGACCAACAGCTTCTTGAGGGTTTGCGCTGTTGTTTCCACAGCAGCTACAACATCATTCCCTGTTCGTTTGCTAAGAGTCAGCAGGGTTGTCACCTCTTGTCGCAAGTCGTCAATGGTTTGAATTGGACGTTTCGTGAGTATACACATGCGAGAAAGGCAAGGAACAAGCAAATCCTTGTTCAAGACACAAATGTTGTTGTCCTCCTGCTTCACTGGGGTCTCAGGATGTAGTGGATTCCCACCACTCAGAAGTCTTTCTTTCATATCAACACTTTGGTCCCACTCTCTCGCAATACCATCGATCGACACCGTTTCCTTAGAATTTGTTTCCCCATTCCCATCATCAGCGTTTCCTTTCCCACTGCATTGGTCCTTCTTTGCCTGGGCTGATTTTTTTGTTTTTGCCATAGCTTGAGCAAAAAAATTGACTGCGCACGTGGGCACAATCTGATTGAGAAAATGATTGCCTGCTTCCAGGACAATGTCATGCAGAATGAGACTGGGTAGCTGAGATTTTCACTTCCGCCCTTGTACCGGGAGCCCGGACTGATGCTTCATCTCGTGGAAAAAGCCATTGCTTTTGCAGGGGGAAATGTGCAAATAATTGTTGTTTCATATATAGCCCTTTTCCTGACAAGTATACCCTGAAAGACCAGACACTGGAAATAAATGTACTGAAGGTTCCTTGCAAAGATTCATCATGTGCCTTTTATACCCACAGGCCCACCAAATATAGTGATTCAATGTGGTATATATGTTATTGTTTGATTGCTGTTGTGAACGGGTACACTGTGCACGTCGCAATTCCCGAATAATACGGAATTCATTATAAGATATTATAAGACTATTGAATTCAATCATCATTATGCTTAGAATTTGGGGTTGATCTACATACATCGATATATAAAACCATTTGACATTGGAAAATTTGATCATCATCCAACATCATCCTGCCACCAAACATCATTCAGCCGTGATGCACGGCTTGATCAACCTAACCAAGTCTGATCAAGAGTTTCCATCCCGACTGTTCTCCTGGGCCTGACCCGGCTTTTTGGTAAAACCCGGGGTTTAAAATGCAAACCCGGGGTTTCAGGTCATATGTTGTCCAAACACGGGGTTTCGCTGCAAACCCGACAAATTTCCAGGGTTTGGTCGTTCAGGGTATATAATATAAACCTATATATATATATAGTTTTTGGATTAGTAGCGATGAACCCAAACTCACCAACATATATCTGGAGATAACAGGAGTACACCACCGAGTACCCGAGTATATACCCTATACACATACACACACACACACATATATATATATATATACACACATACATACAGCATGGATCCAAACTGGGCTGACGTACTGACCCCACAAACTTTGGTGCTTCCCGGCCCACCAGCAGGACCATCCAAGCATCCACTCGCCCACCTTGCCTGCATCGAAATTGCTCTTGTAGCCTGCGGGTCATGCCGTTTTCCCCCACTATTTCCACAAGTTTCCCATCAACATGTCCAGCTTTCAGCTTCCAAAATCATTCAAATTCCTCCACCAGCATTTGCTTCATATTTTTTTCCACATGTTTTTTTTCCATCATCCAACTTCCTCTCCTTTCACTTGGAACGACACCAAGGCACCATAGGCGAAGAACTTGCCACCAGGCGCATGGGCGTTTCCGATGGAGAAGCGGTAGCCCTTGTAGTCGGTGTCCGACTTCACCTGACAGAAGCAACAAAAAGTGCAAATTAAGTTTGTTTCTAAATCTAAGCCAGTGCATTCATGAATAAATGTATACTTATATCAATAGGTATATTCGTTATATAAAATGTATACTTACACATGTGTATATATATATATATATATTAGAATTAGACAATGAAATGCAATGCGTAAACAGTGTATTCAACTGTATATACATATGTGTGTATATATATATATAATCTGTGTATTATATGTGTGTAACACAGTGTTCAGCGAGGCTTCTTCAGATTTCTTCAGGCCATCTGATGATCAATCATGACCGACGGCTCGCAATGGAGGAGGCCAATTCAATCAACAACATGTTTTTTTGTTAAAGATACATTCAAATAATTGCATAGGAACATGATGGAACATGTGCATTGATAGATTTAATTCATCCAGATTCTTTGAAATGACTGGGCTGACTGGGTTCTTTCAGGATGTGGAGACACTGTTTTTTGACGATCGTTCACGCCTCCAAGGTGATGCTCTTGCAAGCCGAAATGTCAGGAAAAATGTGTCCAAACAAGTTCCTGAGCAGCTCAAAAACTCATCAGTCATGGTTTCTCAAACCCCTCGCCCTCAATACGCTTGGATTTTTGTGGTCTGTGATCTGTGGGATGAAAATGGATGAAATGACTTCATCGGTACAAGAATGAAGGACATCACAGTGGGCGCAGTGTCATCAGTTAAGGGTATCGATAAGCTGCTTCATATCTTCCGCCTATCAGTTTTATATCTACATGAATCATACATCCTTGTTTTTCTTCACTTGGTACACTTTTTCATTGCGAATCTTGTTACATTGTTGTGCTTAATGTTGCTTTGATGCTTTGTTGATCTAATGAGTGCACATCCTCAAAGAGTAACACTATCAAATAAAGAACACATTATATAATCAATATCAATCACATTATTTGAGCCACCATTCATCATTTACAAACACATTCTTTGAACCGCCATTCATCATTAAAAAAACATAAAAACGACACATCTAAAACACCTCATTAGGTCCCGTTGGGTCCATCTCCCGCCAGGCATCATATCCACCACGGAGGCCTTGATAAAGCCTGGAGCCTTCAGAAAGGGCACGTCCACCACTTCTCCATCGAAGATGCCCAGCTGGTTCTCCACCGCAAAGCTCCCGGTGGATTTGCCGCCCATAACCTAAGAAACACGGCTGCGGGAGCACGAACATAGGGGAATTGAAGAAACATTGACAAATTATGGAAAACATTGAAAAAACAATGACATGAATGACATGAACTACAAACGCATTGGGGATTTCAGCAGTTCTTTCAGTATCATTTATGGATTAAAATGTAAAACACATGCCCCTTGGTGGTTTGACCCTCCACAGAATGTATATAATGAGTTGTACGGACTTCTTCTGTCTTCTTCTCCCAAATAGGGGTGGGACGGACACATATTCAAAGCAAACAACATTCGCCACCTGATACGCCCGAAGAAGAAATTCATCAAAATAATCATGAATACGAAATGAATCGAAATGTTTTATTCTAGGGGGGTGCATAACAATCGCGAGCATTGGATATGCCATCCACTTAGGATGGGATGTAGTTGAGCCGTCAGTTCTGTGTCAGCGACTGATCAGCCAGCTGACTGGGTCGTTCATCTGCTTCCAGGAGTGGTTGGCTTTCCCATCGAAAGAGGCCAACAGGATGTCACCCACCGCGGCGCAAGCCGCCGGAGCGCACAGCACGAGGAGGCTCGCAAAACGTGCCATGGTCGGATGCTGCAGTGGGTGCTGGCGGCAGCGAGGTTACTCTGTGCCACTGGAGCCATGAAAGAAAAAAAACATACCCACAGCATGGTGCTGGCATTTTGACCTACATTTGGGCAATTCATTTCTTGCACACCCAGATTGCATATAAAACATACAGTAGATGATCTGGGGAGAACTCTTGGAGAGTTGGGTAACCCCCACCACATGATCTTAATGCTGAGGGCTGATGGTTTACCACCCACCAAGTGCAAAAACTGGCCTGAGAGACATCTTCCAAACATTAAAATCAAACATACTGAAAACCAACTAAACAAAACACCTTCGTGGCACGCTGGGGTTCTTGTAGTTAACCTGGACTGAGCTTTCTAACAGGGGTTGGTAAATGTCCAAATTAAACATCACCCAACTGTTGGGGATATAATCTCCAACAAATATTTGAAGGTGATGTCCAAATGTTCAAAATCCCCAAAAAGGGACATTTACCAACCCCTGTCTAATCTACAGTACGTGCTTTCACGTGCTTTCACGTGCAGTGGCTCCTTGTTTCCAGCACCAGCTCCGCTGACCACTGGCCTTGGTGATTTCGCTGCCGGGCAGAGGATGGTGGGATCATGTCGTACAATTTTTCAGCTCTGAGCACCCCAGGTAAAAACGGATATCTACAGATTTAAAGTGATTTATATAAACATAAAAATATAGCATAATATATCATCATTATTCATTAGTCAATTCCCAATCATCCAGACTTCAATTTTGCACCTGTCATAATTTTTCTTCACCAAAACAACTGCTGTCCGGTTGTCTCAGGTCTCAACGTCTGCAGTACCATCAGAAGGCCAAAGGGAGTCATCAAGCCCCGGAAGGCGTGGAAAACGTAGCCCCACCTGAGCGGATTCTCCGTTTCGGATGGCGATGGTCATGGGAAGCGGCTTAGCATTGGCCGAAAGCTAAAAGACTCTCTGAAGCGAATAATCGCCATAGCTAAAAGATGCTAAAAGCATGTGATGATGCTTTCTCTTATGAATCCCCCTGTTCCATTCCTTTTCCGGGGCCGAGGTCCTGACATGGAGTTGCCACCACATCGCATCATGATGCCACCTCAGGGCGAAGTCACCGACTTCATAACAGCCAACACTGGAAAAACTTTGGTTTAAACAAAGGTCCACTGACTAAGTGGTCATTTAATGTGGAAATGATGATAACTCATTGGATTTGTTGAAATTCACGTGTTCAAACAAACCCACATGTCATGGTGCATCAGGATGGTGTCATTTAAAGAGCCATGTTGCAATGGAAAACCTATCAATGAAGCTTCTTCATTGCCAGGCTTCATTGCTGGACAGGTCACTAGTTCCATTGCCAGCATCCGGGACACCAACCCCATCTCCCCAGCAGCTTTGCCCCATGCACATCCTGGTCAGTATGTGGCTTATAGCAAAATGTTCACATAGAAATGGCTTCGAGCCCACTTACATAGGTCATAAACCACATGACCATCCGCTTAAAATTAAAATAGGTGGTATAACCCTTTTCCAGTCATGGGTGGTTTGTGACATTGTTTCATTCCAGAAAAAAGACATTTACCTGGAATGATAAATAATAAATCTGAATAATCATCCATTAAATTCCATAGTAGGAACCTATAGGTGGTACTTTCCCAAATGGTCCCAGTCATGGGTGGTTTATGGCATTTTTTCCCACATTGGAACCTTCACCATCCCCAACCTTTCGCAGCGCCACCTATGGCCATGATGATGGCACTGGGCGCCACCATAGCCTTCACCATCTGCCCCTCAGAGGTCGCCTCCGGCGCAAGTGCAGAGACAAGGGCAGCCACTGGAAACCTGGAAATGTTACATTTATATACCAAACATATATCTCGATGCTATACGACTATACAATCCAAACATCATCTATACATATCTTTAATATCATAAAGTGGAAAATGGACAGGTGTGTATAAAGATCATCGAACTACCATCCAAATGTCATCGTTTATACCATCCTGGTTTCACACGTTTGGTGTCTTTTAGGTGTGAAAACCCTGCAACTGAAATTTGGAAAGGGTGAAAGTCTGGTGAAACTACTGGTAGAGACTATTCTTGCATGAATCATAAGCAAAACATGCCATGAGACACTTTGGCCTTTGACTCACTGCATCCCACATGCTGTTTTGGCAAAATCTCGCATTGGCCACATACATGGGTAATTGCAAATCACATATTATATATAAAAACACATATGCATATGCACACATATATATCTATATATATATATACATATACATATACATACACACACACACACATATATATATATATATACATATATATATATATATACCCTAGGATTCCAAAGCCTATTAAAACAACGGTCTTCCCCTAAAGTAGGTTTCACGATTCTGTGAAACATACTTTCATCTTTGGCACCCATTCACGCCCAATCACGCTCCATCCACCATTTTTCCATCCACAAATGTATCAAGTGAAACTGGGCTTGTGCAAACAGGTTCATCTTCTTCTGGATTCACGTGTCCTCAATCAAACTGCAGTTGGCAGTCAACAAGTTCAATCAAATCGGAGCTAGGACCCGTTGCCATCGATTTGTTTTAAAAAAACACCAGACTGGCTATCCAAATCAAGCCAAAGCTCCTTTTTCGGGATTGGGAATGCTTCATTGCTCTCAACCTGCACCCACAGGCCACATGGCCTAATCAAAAATACAGTGGATGGAGTGTGATAGAGTGTGTGTGACTGAATGGGTGCCAAAGATGAAAGTAGATTTGCAGGGCCTTAATTTGGTACATTTCAAGAGCCAGGTGTGCCGTGTTCTGGTATGCGCTCTTGCCATGATGCCTCAGGTTCAAAACAATTTCTGTCAAATGTAAAATGGGCAAACGCCAGCCATATCATGCCACACATGCACAAAAACCTATTTCAAAAACCAAGGTACCTTTCACCCACCGCATACTATCCTCATCGATAAACGTGTGGACAAATCGTGGGTTGGATCCTAAGTCATTCCCAGGCTACAAAGCAGCCAACACATACAAGAGGCAAGACACCAATTCTTCTACCCTATACAACCATCCAAGTTACTAAATCGCCGAACATCGCGGCAAATATGAATTAAGACCTTGGAAACATCCCATTTGCAACAATACACTAGGAATGGCTTGCAATCAGCGGATGTCATTTTGATTCAGATGAGCTGCATGCAGTTTGGGTTTCATCAACCAACGGCTCTGTTGAAGCCTGCGCCAGTCAAGCCAAGTAAGAAGGGAATCCCTGCTACAACGTGATGCATTGTAAGAACATGATAATTTATCAATGATAATATATTCTTTGGCCCCAGCCTCACATGCTCCACACACAGTGTTTGGTACAAATCCACGAAACGGATGCCAACATCGTGAAGTGACACTGAAGCACGTCTAGTCCTTGGGATGAAGAAGTGTTGCGACTTGGTGCCACTTTCCTAGTTTACACCAACCTAGTCTTAAGTATGGCTAATTGCAGTTCAAACTTTGGGCACTGGTGAAAACACAAACAAAGACCTCGGATATCCAAAATCAAACAAAACAATAATAAGGCTTTGGAATCTAGGGTGACCAAACATAGGCTTTGGAGATACTAGGCTTTAGAAATCCAGGGTGTTCCGTTGGGGACTTAGGATATCTGTGGTTCAACAGTTGAGGTTGGAAACCCAAGGTTAACCCAAAGATAGATTTAAGAGACCCAGGGTGATCCAACAATAGGCTTTGGAAATCCAAGGCAACCCAATTTAGAAAGTGTGGTCATTCCCGGGTAATCACTGGTAATCCCATGTTGTGTGTGTGAGAATTATATGGCATATTTGCTGGCTATGGAAATCCAGGGTGGTAATATGTTAGCAAATTATATGCATTTTTGTAGCTTGGAGATTTGAAATCATCCTGGGGATATCTGATATCTTCTTTCAAACCGTGTATGAAATAGTTTTCAAATGGGCTGATGAATTGAGCGCCCCAAATTTCAAGGAATGACAAGAACACTCCATTGATTAGATACCGCTAGTTGGCGGCCATGCGGCATGTGGCGGGGATTCGCCTCCATGATGGAGAAGAACTTCGCAAGATTGCTCCTTGGCAGTGCCAGTGTGATGGGAGTTTCTCCAAAGGTAATCTTTGGGGGACAATATGGGACAATTCCTTAATTAAACGATTAATGAAGTGGTTCAACCCCCACCCGCTGAAACAAGGGTTGAACATATTGACCCAAGAAAATGGATTGGGGGTTTTCCAAATGGGACTACACCACTCTTGGGCGACCATTATTCAACTTGTGGTAAGGCGCAGTACTTGAACGTTATGAACCAAGAATCATCGCAACACTGGTGAGAACAAGAATTTGATGGTCAGGATGTCTCTGCACAGCATCCAAAAGGCAGTGGTTCAGCCACATCACAATGATTCTGCCATTGTAAGCCTTGGCAGTCAAAAGGACCTCCCCAGTTTTCTTCTTCACCTTAGCCGCTTACACATGTGGTGATGGGAGAAATGCTAGGTTGGGTGCAGAAACCAACTAAATTCATGAGGAGTCTTAATAAAGGCCTCGATGGGTTTGAAGGAACCCAAACTTCTGGTAAGTAAACCGAAAGCAAACAAAGAAATATGACATGACATAATGGATTCTCCACGTGACCATTTTGGGAGTAAAGGGTGGCTGGGAGTGGCTGATATGACGACTCCTGCAGTAGGCGACAAAATGCTTGTATGCAGCATCCAGCCGGTCATCAAAATCTCCAGCACCAAAGTACCCAAGGTCTTCAGCCAAAAGGATCCTTAGCATCGGCCAGTGAAATGGATACGAATGTTTAACATAGCAGAGCTAACAAGTCAAAACAAAATACCAAATATTCGATTCTGTGTTTGGCAGTCGTATTTTCAAACACAAACTGCAAAACTTTGCAAAAATCAGCGGAGATTCAACGACCCTCCATTTGCTGAGAAAACCAGTCCGAGGTTTAATGTATGCATTGTACACCAACGCAGGATTGAAGGGTGCCGAAACATTGACAGGGTCAGCAACGGACCTCACTGCTGACAATGACCTTCAAGAAACATTATCACCAACAACCCTCATGGGTATCCCAACTGAAACATGGCAAACACAAGGCACCAAAAACTTGATAACTTGTAGTTAGCCAGGGTGCACAGGTTTGTGTCTTTCAAGGCGTGTGCCATAAATCCAGCCAACCCATACTCTTCAGACTCCCACCCGCACTCCTCCCCATGGTGGTTCCAATACAAGTAGCTAGGCTGGGTGCTCTTGGCTAGTGCAGGGCACCTAAAACACACTCTGTTTGCCTGCCAGCTTGCCCTGGGACGCCATGTCTGGACATGGAACTCCCAGTCTCCACGGAGCTCAGTCAGTGCCCACTTGGCACCAGACCGAGACAAAGGCTGCCCTGCACAGCTTTGTTCATGTTGTGATAAAGGCTTCCCTCCAACCCCTGTCATCGGGTGCAAACCTTCAAAGGCACTTTCTAACGACCATGTCAGCCGCTTCCATACCACATTGAGTGTTCTATTTTTGAACAATAGGTGGGTTGGGCAACTGAAGAGACACCATCTCGAAAAGCGAACCGAACATGGTCGGAAATGCACGATGTTAAGATGAATTGCAGTGATTTTTTCGAATTTGTTTTGTGACCACAGCCTTGCACTGTCACCGTGCAAGCCGACTGGAATGTGCTTGTCACTAGCTGGGCTCGATGTAGCCCACGGCTCACCACGTTGCCAAGCCGTGTGCCAGTATTTTGCAATTTCAGACTCTGGTACCACAATGCCTACCTCGTCCCATAGGTAGGATAAAATCTCGTGAGGGTGTAGGATCGGGAACTTCTGGAAGCACATGCCATGTGGGGCCTTCTCATTTTTGACAGGAACCCTGACTTCATGAATTGCCTCGGGCCAACCAGTGGACATCATAGATGCGCATATTTCTGGGCTAAGGTGATGATAATGAAACCCATCTACCATTTAGACTCAATCTAGACTGGTAACCTGTAATTGCAATGCACAATCAGCATCGTCTAGTATCTACAACATAACAATAACCCTAGAAGTATTTGTCAGGAACAGGGTTAAGTTAGCAGTTAACAAAAAGGGTTGTCCATTTTTAGACTATGATTTCCAAAAAACATATTTTTTGAATAATAATGATTGGAAACATAATTTTGGTGGTTTCTTTGGTGATTGAGGGGCCCAGTTGGGAATGGCTCCAAAGTAGGGGGACCAATTGATCGATATCTTACATGTTGGTGGTAAACCTTTGTTTTGGTAGTTAATAATTTCAACCATAGCTACGAAGGTATTGCCCTTTCTCCAACCACCTGGGGCCTTTAAAAACCAAGAGGCAACAGGGATATCGGCATGGCGCCAAAAATCACGCACATCATTGTGTCCAGAGTGTTGTCCCAGTTGAATAACTTCAGGATGACAAGCATTTCCAGATTCCTGGGGCAAACACCCTGGAAAGGATTGGACAAGGGTCTTTGACCTTATACGGCTAGCTTTTAGGTGGACTTCTCAAAATAGATGACATTAACATAATCCAAACATTTTTTGACTTCCCTATTAATGCTTCCATTTTCTGCCCCCCCATTTTTGAAAACATCCATATCATCAAATACGACAATGACTTATCATAAACATGCTTGGCAAAGTTTTTTGAACACTATTTTTTGGCCCCAGTGGTTTCCCATCAGAACCTAACTTAACCCATCTTAAAAATGAATTCACCATCAGGATTTGCAAGCACC